CGGGCCTGGGTTGTAGTCCAAAATTGGGGGCCGACCAGTAACCGGCCCGGAACCCACAGCGGGCGGGCTTTTTTTCACGCGGGCTGGTACCGGGCTCACATGTTGGCGGGCCGACCCGGTCCGGACCACCCGGGTTGACACTTCTACATTGGATTAAAGCTACTAATTTGTTGATTTTGTGCTATAATTGCATCGAGAAGTGGATTTTTTGTTTAGACCACATAGTAAAATTCAGGAACTAGAGATACATTTTCTAGTTGGTGTGATCGTTACATGAATTCTTAGATATGTAAGGCGTTTAACTAAGGCATATCCAAATTTACACAGAGATATAAAATTGGCTTAGTTAAATAAAATCAATTTGAACTCAAGAGAGATAAATTGAATACGTTGGAAAAAGTCAACCGAATAAACATAATCAATTATAAATATTAGTAATTGATATTATGGTGATAAGTATGGAGAACTTGTGAAATATAACACTAAAAAAAAAATCCGATTTGTGCCTTCGCCGGAAGGATGGCCAATAGGCCTGCACAAAAAATTGTAAAACCACATATTGGACCGAACCGTTGGTTCGTGTATTTTTTTTCTCTCAAACCGAACCCAATCGTTTCAAAATGATTTGGTTTAGGTTTTGATTTTCAAAAATCGCAAAAAATCGAACCGAACCCCTTTTTAAAAATTTTTTAATTAAAAATTTAATTTTATTAAATTATAAATTTTTATAGTTTTTCTTTTCTNAATTATAAATTTTTATAGTTTTTCTTTTCTGAAAAAAATACCAATTTAGTAATACAAATTGCAACTAGCTCATTGAAATAATCATATAAAGTAAATTAGATTCCTCATTACTAGCCCATGGTTTTAGAAGTTCACTACACACGCCGTGACCCAATATCTAAACTAAACTAAACTAAAATTATCCCCCAAATCATAAGAAATGGACAAAAAAAGTATATATTTTCGACAATCCAAATCATAATTCAATAAAACTACGGTAGCAAATAACACCTAAAGCCTTTTTTTTTTTTTTTTTGTTTCTAATTTTAGACAAATATGAATCCAATTTAATGTTATTAGTTTTCATTTAAACGTATATGTTAACATGTTTTAAATACATTACTATAATGTCGATAAGTAAACCCGAGGATTGAAACCGAACCAAAGCATGGTATGACTTGGTTTGAAAAATTTCAAACCGCATGAAATGATTTGAGTTGAAAATATAGAACAAATCACCTAAACCAAACTGCGTTCATCCCAAATGGCTAGTGTTGCTGCTTCTAAGAACCTCGTATCTATAGCCGACAGCAACCCAACCCTTAATGAAGCATTCTATAATTAATATTCAGAACTCTACTTAACCAATAAAATTGATGAATGTAAAGCGAGTACAAGAAGGTAAAATTGATTGTGGAGAAATGAAGTTGAAATTGTGGCCAAATTCGCAACCATAATAATCCTAACTAAGTAAAAATATTTTCAAGCTAATATAAATCCGTAAAAATATAAATTTTAGGAAAATATAAATATGATTTATAATCTAATTTTTGTAAGAATTGTGATTTCATATTTTCGAAATTGTATTATTTGAAATATGGTACTTATAAATTTTTTCCATAACATAATTTGAAATTTCTGCGGGGGTGTGAAGGATGGGCAGGGCACTGGGCCTAACAGTCTGTTTAGTCAATCTTTAGAAATGGGCCTGCTCTAGATGAACTGCTAAGCCCACATTCTCGCCCCTTCTCCGGCGGTCCTTCCTATCATTTCCATACCCAAGTTTAATGTTTTTATTCCAAAATAAAATTAAACGTGTCTATTTGATGTAGAACAAATGGTTGAATGAATTGAAAAAAGAATTAGATCGAAAAAGGAAAAAGGTAATCGTGCATGTGTGGCGTTCGACCTTCGGTTTGGACTCATAATACTAATCTGGAAAGAGAACAACGAGACGAGTAGAACTCACTACTTTATCGTGACATATGACAGATTTTAGCCATTCGAGTTCGTTTAGGAGTTGAAAACTGTTCTTAAGGTTTTATTGCTATTTTTGTCATTTAGTTTATTTGGAATTCTTTGCAATTTTACTTTGTTTAAACTAATTTTTTTCGTGTAAATCCTTATAAATAAATATTTAAAGCATTGTTTTTGTTCATCTTGCATCAATAAAATTTCGCGAGTTTATTTTTTCATAATTTGGTGGATTTTAAAAATTATGTTCTTAAAGTTTCGTTTGAATTCCTTGTTTCCCATTGCGTCAGATATAATTAATTAAAAAAAATGTCATAAGAATAAAGAAGGAGCTATAATAACAATAATTATAGGGCTGCCTCTACTTCTAAGGCATGTTTTTGGTCCCTAAGAAGTCCTTCATTACAGCCAACATGATATATTAATGAATGCTATTTGTCACTTTAAGTGCTTGCTTGCCTTTTGGAAAATTTAGATCCAAACTTTAAAGTCAAACAAGACAAAAAGAAGCAATTAACTTTTTTTGAACTCACTCAATTTATGCTTTTCATGAAGATGATTTTGCCAAACCTTTACTTAAAATGATATAATTATACTTTATTAAATTTGATCCATTCAAAATACTTGATTATCAAGTAATTCAAATTTAAAAATAAAATTCATTCGTCGTGGTTACTATGGAGACCATGCTAATGTTTATAAACCTTGCGGTGATAATCTATACTATTACGACGTGAACTCCTTATATCCCTATATTATGAAGTCCTATCCAATGCCTGGGGGTGAGCCTGTCTGGCATGGTAAGTTAGAAGGTCAGGATTTAGACAACTTGTTTGGCTTTATTGAGGCCTATGTTGTATGTCCTCGTACTATCTCTCGACCATTCCTACCCTATCGGGATGAAAAGAATCAAACTCTACTCTTCCCAACCGGAAATTTCGTGGGTGTGTATTATAGCGAAGAGTTAAAGTATGCGCGCGACATAGGCTACCAGATCATTCCTCTTTCAGGCTACTTGTTTGAAAAGAAGAATAGCAGCCCTTTCGAAAGCTTTGTTTCCAACATATTCGAAAGAAGACAAGAAGCTAAGAGAGCAGGTAATGACGCAATGTCCTATGTTTATAAGATACTCATGAACTCGCTATACGGTAGATTTGGTATTAACCCAAAATGCACGATCACTGAGATCTGCGATTCTGATCGATATAACTATTTGATAAAGAAAAGTGATTTAATCTTAGGGGACAAGCTGAGCGAGTATTACTATATTTTATCTTACTTAAGCAATACAGAACATGTTGACGACTCAGACTGGAATCCTCCTAAGATATCGGCTGTTCAATTGTCCGCTGCTATTACAGCTTGTGCTCGTATTTATATGTACAAATACATTTCCAGACCTGACTGTTACTACACGGATACGGACTCTGTCGTTCTTGGCAGTCCTCTTCCTGAAGAAGAGATTTCTTCAACTGTATTAGGTAAGTTTAAGTTAGAAAACAATATAAAGAAAGGCATCTTCTTAGCACCAAAGAGTTATTCACTTTTGACTCAAGAAGACGAAGGAATCATTAAGCACAAGGGTCATGCAAAATCATTGGTCGATAAAGAATGGTTTGAGTCACAATACGTTGATATATCTAGAACAAAGCTAACCTCTGTGGAATCTAACTTCAACATTGATTGGGAAAGACTGAACATCTCCAAAAAGGAAACACTAGTGAACCTTGGAATCAGAATTGGTAACAAGAGGGAACCTGTGTATGATAATAATCTTTGGGTGGACACTGTGCCATTGGATGTTACAAACTTCGGTGGTCAAGAAAATAGGATACGAGCATATGAAGTGATGCGTCTTCAGGAACTAAATGAGAAAAATATAGAGCATTTAGCTAAGAAAGACAGAGAAATTGCTTATTTAAAGTCAAAACTTGATAGTCTCAATAATGAGCCTTATCAAGATAAAGCTAACCTTGGTAAGAGTCAATCGCACTCTGCACAGAAAGCTGATGATCCTAAGAAACATACTTACAAACACAAACCAAAAGGTAAGAAAAAGCCCGGTTAGTGTAAGCTTCTATTTCTTGGGTTACTTTTGCGAGATTCTCTATACCTAGCATTTCCTTCTGATTCCGTTCGTCCTTCTATCAAGTGAAGCACTCGCGTAAGGACACTTAAGAAGTTCTTTCTAGAGTCAGCAGTGAATTCCGAAAGGTACTCTAACAGCCTTCGAGTGGAATAGAGAGACGGGCATCAGTTAGATAAGACGCTTTATACAATAAGAAAAAAAACTATGTTTTTTAATATTTCTACCTAGCCGTATTCTAATTCCAATTTGATTTTACTCTTTCCTTCATTGTTGATGAGAATGAAGCCACCTGAGAAAGGGATAGATTCTCCTCCCCTAACAGCACGTTCTAAAGTAGGCGAAAGAAGATTGCATTCATTTATGAATATATCGTTCAAAACCTCACAATAAGACTGTTCTTTTTCTTCATCAAAAATGGGAATTAATATTTCATTTTGATAGCGTGCATATTTCAGTTTAGGCAATCGTTTTTCAATTTCCCGATCAATATCGTCCATATAGATATTGAATAGTACTTCAGCTATGAAAGGAAGAGGAGGAACGCCAGTATTTATCGAGAAGTCCCTGTCCATATTATCAACAATGGGAGCGTTGCAAAAAGAGGAGATCAACTTGACCAAGTCATTGTTCACAATAGAGCGTACTTTTTCTATAAGTCGTGACCTGGAGAATTTTAATTCAGAATTAGAACAATTTACTATAAGAAGAGTTTGAACATCCCTATACTCCAGAATGGTATCGAGGTAATGGGTTATTGTTCTATCTTTAGAATAAGAACTATAGCACGATTTACTAAAATAGGAAGATTTGCCCAACTCTTTGATTAAGATACCAGCAAGTGCCCCAATAACAACTTCGTCAGCTAGAGAGGCTTCTACTTCTACGGATAAGGCTGGGATCAAATTCGACCCGGGGGATTCACTATATGTGCGAACAAGTCTAAGTGAGGAAAAGTAGTAATTTCCAGATAGAACTAAGTTTTGAATATTAAGAATATCACCTTCCGAAAGTTCATAGTCGCTATTATTCTGCTTATATACAGCGTAAACCTCGTTTATTTCAAATACCAAACTTTGAAGAGAACATTTTGGAACATCACCCCACGGCCTACCATCAGTATATGATCTATACGTTACATGGAAATGCATATTATAACCTGGATAAAATATCATGTTTACCATTTTCTTATTCATATTTGTAGATATACTCCATACTCAGAAACGGACTCCGTAAGTGCAATAGATAGAATAATCGTAGCAACCATTAATGACACATTTATTATCTTACCGCTTTGTTTATTATCTATTTTGAGTGGGTCAAAGGAATTTTGCGGAAAGAGATCTCTAGCTGTTTTATTGAGGGGCTCCCCGCATTCGCATGGGCTACTCACATCAAGGTGGGAGCTACAAACGTGGTTAACATAAGTATCTTTGATCACATCTATTAAGATTTTGATATTGGGTGCGCAAAGTGCTAATGGTTTTAGCAAAAGGGGTTCGGGAGCTATGAACCCCCATATTGTGAAACCAAATAAGATAGAAAGAAAGATAACAAAGCGAATATCTTTGTAATACGATAACAATATTGCATCCGATAGTTTAAAGCTTTTGATTCTCCCCGACTCCCGGCATATATCTGCAAGCCCAATTATCTTATCCGGTGATCGCATTATCCGATTTCCAGCTATGTTTATAGGAATATTATTTTTAGCAGTCAAAGGTGCCCATTTAGAAAAAGTATATTTAACAGAAATACCATCATGATTATATATAACACTCTTTATCCCCGAAGGAGCATGCTGCATAACAGACTTGAGATTCATTATATGCTCATAATTATTCTGTAGACTCAAAAGTCTAAAATAATTACCATTTTTCAATTTAAACCAGCATGGTTTATTCAAAACTGTAGAATTAATAATATGCGTTGGTTGTTCACGTATCTCTGCTTTCTGAGAAGTCAATTTAAAAAAGATATGAATCATATTGTTATGTTTATTCTATATGTTTGTTGACTAGCGTAGGATGAGATCGTCGTATATGTTCATCCTAGCCTATGCTCCCCTGTGCCTTACCCTGGATTTATGGATCCCCTTTCTCTAACGTTTCTGAGTTGGACGTTAACCGCTACTCTTATTAGAGTACTCATTGTAGAGAAAGACCGGCAATGGTTATACATTTTCAAGGGAGTCGCCATTGGGATTTATCCCTAAAGGTTATGGGCCTTTAGAGTTTTATCCCTAAAGGGTCATAAAAATGTGGATGTGGAGGGCATTTTTTACAAACAATCATGCGCTATGACTTGTGACCTGACCTGTGACTTGATTTGTGACTTGTGACCTGATCTGTGACTTGATTTGTGACTTGTGACCTGAACAGTGACTCTTGACTTGTGACTTGTGAGCTATGACTTGTGACATTGGATTTATGACCTGGGTTGTGACCGTAAAAAAAACATGTTAACCGTACAAAAAAATATAGTGGAGCAGTTGCCGAAAAAATCGACGCCGGAACAGTCGTCGGAATCGGAGTAGTTGCCGGAACGGTTGTCGGAAAGTTCGCCGGAGTAGAGTGGTGACCGGAACGGTCGCCGGAGTGGTAGGGGTGGTGAATGTGGGATGGGTTAATTATATTATATTAGAATTAAATATTTAATAATAAATTAATTTAATAATTTATTATTTCATAAATAAAAATTTAAAATTTTTTAATAAAAATCTGATTTTGGAAATTTCAAATTTGTTTTCTTATTTAATTTTTGAAATAGGTTAAACTTATTTTCTTGAATATGTAATATTCCCTTAAATGTTTGGTACATCAAGGAATTAAGCCCATGTTTGATGCCATTATTTGGGGAAAAAATTATTTTGAATAATGATTTTTAGGAGAACGTGCAGTTAAAATGTGAAAAAAAAAAAAGTTTTGCATTACGTACATAATATTTTATTATATGAATGTATAGTTGAAAATGATTATATAGAAAAAAATTTTTTTAATAATAATTGTCAAACATGGGCTAAATATCCAAATTATGTATTTTTGTTTCGTTAATTTCATTTAAGAGTAAATTTGAATTTATCCTACACCAAGTAGGAATGGAAGTGTCTTCATCATTGACATTTAAAATTCATTTTATGAATTGCTATCTATGTAATATGTAAATTGAAAGACTTTCAACCTACGTAGCCTTGATGCAAAGTTGCTCAAGGCACTCAAGGGCCTTAGACGAAATTTTTTGAGTCCTTTAAAGATTTTTTTTTTTAATAAGAAAACAAATAATCCTCGTCTATGGAAATATTGTTTCGTTAATAAAGAGGAAAGCAATAAAAGTTTAAGATAAGCTCTTAACAACATTTAAAGTCTTATACTAAAGTATAATTTCATTGAAAATCTTTTTGATAAAGTGTGATTTTGGTGACACTGAGATAAATGACACTCTTGGTACTACATACTGAGAGAATCTTTGCACACCCGTTTATGTGTAAAAATGGGTCAGTTTCAATAGAAATGGATGTACTTTCCACTAATTTTGTCTTGAGCCTCGAATGAACTACATTCGATTCCTTTTTGAAATACAATATATATGGTTCAAAATTAATTAAGCAATAACAAGCTTTTTCTGGAAACACAAGAAAAGTAGGGCGTACCAAGAAAAACTCTTCATTCTAATAAAATAGCACCAACTGAAAGAGAAATTATTGCGCAAAGAAATATTCCCATAATCGAGTCATACATTAATTGAAAACTTGTACAATAACTTTTCCAACTTTCCCTTATCAGAAGAGTTCAACTTCCACCCGTTGATGTGTGAAAATGGGTCAGCTCCAATAGAAATGGATGTACTTCGCACTAATTTTCTCTTGAGCCTCGAATGAACTACATTTGATTCCTTTTTGAAATACAATATATATGGTTCAAAATTAATTAAGCAATAACAAGCTTTTTCTTGAAACACAAGAAAACTAGGGCGGACCAAGAACAACTCTTCACTCTAATAAAATAGCACCAACTGAAAGAAAAATTATTACACAAAGAAATATTCCCATAATCGAGTCATACATTAATTGAAAACTTGTACAATAACTTTTCCAACTTTCCCTTATCAGAAGAGATCAACTTACACCACGTAGTACCAAATCAGAAGTCCCGAAATTATCTCATCACATTCGTTTCAAACAAATCCTCCGGAGGTTTCCAGCGTCCTACAATGATGCAAAACATAAACGTGAACACAATGTCTATTAAGATAGTGGCGCACACACCTTCTAAACCCTCAATCCTTCTACTATGTAGTGAATATCCACTCCAGTCCAACATAGATGACCATCACACAAAGATTATACACATTTCAAGTACATACGACTCGTATGAAACCCACAGCAAGAAGGTTATATAAACTCCACAAGATCTTATCAATACACACAGGCAGAGTGTTCTAACAACCAATGCATAACATAAATGTATGCTCATGATGGATGTCAAAACAAATACATGTCACCAAGTGACATGATACAACATCAAATATCAATGCCAAACAAGAAGTAATATCGCACAATCCAACATGCTTATGTTGATACATCACTGCCTTGACTACATCATTCCAAGGTTGATACGATCAAGGTCACTTTGGTTAAAATAGTATACCTCTAATGTTTCAACCAGTTAGTCTCGAAATTGGGCACCTAACATGATTTACAAGCACAAATTTCCAAACATCATGGTTTCAAAATCTGTGCAACTATGTGCACCCAGTGGCATGATGCATACGGACCACTTGGTGTGATCCTGTTCTCTATGCAGCTATACCGAGTTGATTTCCATTTTCAGTACCTTAAATGTTCTCACCTTCATTATCAGAATTCGTGTTTTAGCACCATAATTCTCTTCTTTTACTTTTAGCACCATCTAGTTCATAACTACCTCCCTTCAAGTTTTCTTGATTGTTTCCTTTACAAACCATTATAAAGTTTATTCAGTAAAGAAGATCCCGGGATGTCAGAGTTATGCTAACCATTTTTCCTTCACTTTGTTAGCACATCCTCTGACAACTATTGACAAGTGGACAACCGTCGCTATAGTGAAAGGAAGTAAGGCCTACTTCATGTAGTAATATTTATGGACCGTCTATTACTGTAGATTTGTCTCATATATGGTGAATCTGCTACCCAGAACTTCTAGCATTAGTGCTAATATTTTGGTCCTGAAAAGCATTTTCCTTGTACTAAAAGGGACCTCCGCAGATTTCACCAAGGTTATAAAATGACTTTCAGTCCAAAAGATGCCCTATACTGTTTCCATTAGTGTGTAATGGGGACTCCGAAAGCCGTCAAAGCTTGATGAGAGTAGTAATTATCAAGTTTGCCTGTGGCTTGGCTTATCTAGGTCTTTTCAAGCTCGACTTTTCCGGATAAAGTAGTCAAAGGTCGAACACATAATTATACTCACTGTGCAAATTATGAGCTAGGCTTAAATTGGCTTGATAAACAAATCAATACTCAACTACTACACAATTAATCAAGCTATTAAAGCTCAGTTTATCAGCTTAAGCTTTATTTAGGATAAGAGATTAGCTGATTTGATTCTGAGCACTCCAAGGCCCAGCTTGCCTCTACGTGTTTGGACTTTGGAGCACTATAGCTACCATAATATGGTCTCAAATTCACACAAGGCCAATATAGAAACAACGAATGTCTAGATACGTTCAACATGCATACATTATCAAATGTGATGCAGTTCAGAATCAGGAATATGCATTTAATTAAAAATATGGCATAAAAATCAAGGGCAATTGTGGAAAAATAACTGAATGACAGTCCCTACAGGATTAAAAAACAAAAAATAAAGGCAGATATTAGCATAGTTCATCTTCATCTTCCTGTGACAGTAACTATGTTGCTCGGACTCGGGTACGGATATCAGGTACAGGTGTTTGATCTTTTATATTCTAAGATGTAGAATACGGGGACATCACTAAAAAAAAGTCCAAATTTCAGACACGAGTACGTGGGTACGTCTTTCAAATTTCAATAGGCCAAAATCAATTGTTCACAAAAAAATAAAAAGAGTATTGGAT